TTATGGTTTGAGTGTGTAAAATTTATTTTGTTACGAGTTTTGAATTGAGTTTGAAATTTTTGACGTGACATATGATATTTGATTCAAAAATTTACAATTCATAACCAAACATACAATCTAAAATTCTATTCAAAACTCATAAAAAGTATTAAAAAAAATTCTGAAAATATTTTTTATTTAAAATATAAAAATAACAGGTGTAAAAAAAAAACACGAACACTGTTTCGGCCGAATGTCCTGAGGGACACCCACAAGGATGATTGGGTAAACATGTTTTCAAAAGTGATGTGAAATCAATTTTTAAAAACTCTAATCAAACACCACACTCAAATCAATGGATATAATTGAGTTTTGAAATCTCTCCACCAAACACAACCTCAAATCATAATTAAGAACCATATAAAAAAATAATTAAAGCGTATCATATACCCAGAAAAATGAGTGTGAACATAAATTTTTTCATTAGGTGTAGGCTCTGAAATTTAAGAAAATGCGAATTGTATTTAGTGGGAATATAAGTCAAAATAGTTGTGAAAATCTGATGGTATTCGCGTGTGTGGCTGTGGAAAAAAGTTTCAATACAATGGTGATATTGGCCCTGTTTGGTAGAGTTGTGGGAAAGTGTTTATACTTTATGCCTCAACAGTTTATAGCTTATAACTTTCAACTTAAGCTGATTTTCAGTTTATTTTTAAAGCATCTCCTGCCCCACTCAAAGAATAAGCTGATTTCTGACTTTCAAAAAGTTATAAGCTATAAGCTATAAGCTAAACTAAACACATCAAAATAACTTAAATTAAGCTGAAACCTGAAATAAGCTGTAATTAAGTTCTGCCAAACAAGCACATTACATGGTGATTTCATTATTTAATAAGCCCTTGTGTTTATGCTCATGTTGAAAAATGAGGTTCACTCTCTACTTGTAAATTTATTAATGATATTAACAACATCACATCATCAATATTATAGTGACGTTAAATTTTGGGCAAATTATACTGACGATCTTTATATTTTATTTATTATATTATTTTGATTCTTACATTTTTAATTGATTTGATTTTAAATTTTAATTATAGATTTTATTTCAAATTTTTTAATTTTTTTTTTGTTTGACATTTTATTATATTCAAAAATTGAAAATTAGGGAAATGAAGTAAGAGAGATTTCAGGAACTCTCATGTAGGAGAGAGAACGTTTCGGGTACTAGTATGGACATTTTGAAAATTTTAGAGAGCCCGCTACATTTTCTTATATATATACTAGTGGTAATCCGTATTATGCACGGGAAAGTAACAAAAGGTGATAAATAATACTAAATATGTTAAAAATTAATAACAAAATTCTATGATATTAATTTAGATAAGTATTTAAATAATATATTTGATTGATCTCAACTAAAAAAAGAAAGGTCATAGTGAAATTCTATAAATATTGTGAAATCAATTTTTAAAAACTCTAATCAAACACCACACTCAAATCAATGGATATAATTGAGTTTTGAAATCTCTCCACCAAACACAACCTCAAATCATAATTAAGAACCATATAAAAAAATAATTAAAGCGTATCATATACCCAGAAAAATGAGTGTGAACATAAATTTTTTCATTAGGTGTAGGCTCTGAAATTTAAGAAAATGCGAATTGTATAGTGGGAATATAAGTCAAAATAGTTGTGAAAATCCGATGGTATTCGCGTGTGTGGCTGTGGAAAAAAGTTTCAATACAATGGTGATATTAGCCCTGTTTGGTAGAGTTGTGGGAAAGTGCTTATATCTTATGTCTCAACAGTTTATAACTTATAACTTTCAGTTTAAGCTGATTTCCAGTTTATTCTTAAAGCATCTCCTGCCCCACTTAAAGAATAAGCTGATTTCTGACTTCCAAAAAGTTATAAGCTATAAGCTATAAGCTAAACTAAACACATCAAAATAACTTAAATTAAGCTGAAAGCTGAATAAGCTGTAATTAAACTCTGCCAAACAGGCACATTACATGGTGATTTCATTATTTAATAAGCCCTTGTTTTTATGCTCACGTTGAAAAATGAGGTTCACTCTCTACTTGTAAATTATTAATGATATTAATAACATCACATCATCAATATTATAGTGACGTTAAATTTTGGACAAATTATACTGACGATCTTTATATTTTATTTATTATGTTATTTTGATTCTTACATTTTTAATTGATTTGATTTTAAATTTTAATTATAGATTTTATTTCAAATTTTTTAATTTTTTTTTTAGCGATGAAGAATATTTGGATCAATTTACATGAAAACTTGACTAATTCCCTTCCGATTCTATCAAAAGAAAAACCATCTATACCAGAATTAAAAATTTACTTGTTTGGTGTGTTTTTTGAAGAGTTGTTTTTGAAAAAAAATTTGGAGAGAGAGTTTAGAAATTTTTTTGATTTGTTTGGTTGTATATTTTAGGAGAGTTGTTTTTTTAGGAGTTTGGGATGATTTGATATTTTGAGAGAATTTGAAGAGATGTGTATGAGAGAAAAAGTGATTGCGAAGAAAAAAGAACAGAGAAAAAGTGATTGATTGATGTGTAAGAGAGATAAAATGATTTTAAAAATTGTTTGAAAAAAACTCAAATCAAATAATTTTTTAAATTTTTTTTTCTAAAACTCATTTTCCAAACACAAACCAAACATACTAATTACCTTCTGACAACCTAACTCCAAAATTCGAGATATTTGAATTAACAAGTTTGAAATTAATATTGGACTTCGCTTAAACAAGAGTCATATTCGGAGATCTTTGAATGACAAACAATGAAAGTGACTTATAGATTTCCCTTGTATTAATAAAATAATGATTATTTTTAAAAGTAACACTTGTGCAATTCAAATTAATGGGTAATTTGGAATGATTTAAATAAAGGATTGTTTGGGATGTAAGTGTATTTTTTATCTTTTTAGATTAAAAAATTGAGAAAAAAAATATGGATGTTTGAGTTAATTTTTTGATTTTTTATGAAAAAATGTGTATTAAATTAAAAAATTATAAAAATTGATTTGTAGAGGAAAATTAGGATTGGGAGTTGTGCAGCTGTAATTGTTGACTTTTGGTGAATAGTGCTAACTTTTTAACTTTTTGAGTAACTCTTTGACTTTTTGGCTTTTTCATATCTTCCCAAACTTGGCCTAAGTGTACTTTTTGACTTTTTATGAAATATGAATTGAGTATGGATTAGGTTTGAAATGATGTAATAGAAAGGTAATATGACTTAAATAAGATGATATAACTTAAATAAGATAGTGACTTTTTAAATTTTAAACTTTTTTTAAATTAGGACAAAAAAGACCTAAACACCACATATTATATACTAATATAATATACCTTCTCTGTCTAAATGACTCATCATAACCACCTTGTTTAACTTATTATAGTTTAAATAAATATATCCCATGAGTGTTGCGGCCTTTGAAATAGCATACGTTTGCAATGTGAGTTAGTTTTTTTAATTTTTTGACATTTTAATTATTTAATTTGAGGTTAAATTTTTTTATTTGGATTAAGTTTTTTGATTTTTTTAAATTTTGTGAGAGAAAAAATGAAATGAAATAATTATAATTTAGATGTGATATTTTATCTTATTTACTTTTTAACATATTTTGTCTTTTTTGAGATTAAAACAGTCCTAATCCAACCCAAACTTTCATGTCAAACGAATCTTTAATAACATTATTCTATATTATAATTGTTGTAAGAGATATGTACCGGTATCTAGGATATTTATATAGGAACGAAAATATACATATTAACAAAAAAATTTAAATACAAAATATAGATTATAATATTAATTTTTATTGACATATAAAAAATAAAAATAAGATGAAAACATATGCAAATAAGGGTGATTATTCAGTATTCTCAGAGTATGGACATGTGATACTCGATAAGATTTTGATTGGTATAAAAGGGTAGGGGCCCACGATTCATGTTGAGAATAAGAGAACAACATGAGAGATAAGTAATTGAAAATTGTCTTAGAATATGATCACGTGATGTTCTGAGATTATTAAATAATTTTTCATACAAACAACTAGCTAATGCCTTGATTTACTATTTAAAAATATGGCTTGTCATCAATAGTAGTTATGAAATTTTTTATTATATTTTGTCTAATTTTATACTTTGATCCACTGTTTTATAATTATAGAGGAGTAACCACTTAGATTTTTAAAAAATCAAGAGAACCACTTAAATTTGTATATATATTAAAAAGAAGAAGAAGAAGATACTTAGAGGAGGCGAACCTCTATAATTTGGAAATAATTATAATTGAGTAAATTACACTGACACTTTCTGATGTTTGGTCTAATTACATTTTACACCTTGACATTTTGAAAATTACATTCTCACATTTGTGGTTAATAGTCTCATTTTATAAATCCCCTTACTTATATAAAAAGTAACAACTCATAGTAGAAAAATAAAGGAAATTACATTGAAAGAAAAAGTAAAGCAAAGCAAAGCGAAGGAAAAAAAAAAACAGAGGAAGTAAAACAAAGTAAGAAAAAAGAGAGTGCATTAATTCAATATTTTCATTCTATCTATATAGTTACAATAATAGGGAGTTAGTATAATTTTTCAAATGTTAGGAGTTGATGTGTATTAAATCTTAACCTCAAAGGTATGAGTGTAATTTACCCATTATAATTAATACTCCTATCATGACGGAGGTTTTTCAAATTGGAGAGGCGATCGCCTCCTCTACCCTCTCTAGGTCCATCATTGGCAGTACCAAGAGTAATAAATAAAATTGAAAAATAATTTTTCTATTTTTACAAAAATAAATTATAAAATTGAATATAACTCTCCCATATAAGATAAGTCTCACATTTTTTAAGGTTCTTATGCCCAGATAAAAGTGAGCGGATCCTCTAGAGTAACTCTCTAGAGTGATCTCCTAAAGTGGATGATCGGACGGCTGTGGTTAAGCCTCACCAAAACGATGTCGTTTTGGTGAGGACTTTAAAAAAAAAAAGAAAAACCAGATTCGGGGATTCAAAAGGGATTTCAAAATTCCCCCAAATTGCCCCCATATGTATACACACGGCGAGAGGGGGAGACTGTGAAGGAGCTCAAAGGAGTGTTTGGAGTTCAAAGGACGAACGGCGGCGAACCACGACGAAGGACGGAGGACGATGAACCACGATGGAGGACGAACGGGGAGCCTGCGACAGCGAATCGAGGTAAACCTGAATCATAGTGAAGTTAGGGTTTACGTTTACATTCGGCTTCAATTTTTTTCCATACATTAGTCGATTGGGAGTGTTTCGGGTTGGATTTTGTTTGGTATTTGTGTTAGGGTTTGGGATTTGGCTTTAATTTGTGATACCTGTTAGGTTTTGGGATTTGCCTTTTCTTGAGTTCCATTTTTGAGATCACTGTATTTAGTTCCATTTTTTTGAGTTAATTTTTAAAATTTTGATTTAAAAATTGTTTTTTGAAAATGGCCTACTGTTTAGGTCCTTTTTTTTTTTTGGATATTGTAAATGGAATTCAAAATTGGTTGATTACCAGGCTTGTGGTTATTGTTTTCCTTTTTGTGTTCGTTTCCAGATTGAGACACAGAAACTTTTAGCTCATCTTGTGGAAGCAGAAATCAACAAGAGATTGGTAAATATAGCCATCTGTGTCTGGGTTCTTATTTAGCTTTGACAAACTGAAGTTAAATTTTTTCCCCAATACTTTCAATAAATTACTAAATTCTTAAAATCTTATTCAATTTAAAATACCCCAAAAAGATCATTATGCTACTATTTGGTATTGGTTTCTTCCATTCCATCCACTGCTTTGCATTTTTATTTTGATGAATAACCTCATGAAATGGTCTGGGAGATGCTGCTGTAGAGTTATTGCGTACACTGCTAGCTGTGCATGCAGAGGTATTTGTAATGCATGCTTTGTGTGGTTTGTGCGTGAAAATCTTCTTGTCTTGTTATTAAATTCTCCTCGCTTTCTTTTCATTTGCTTATCCAAGTTTATGAGGTGAAATAATTCCCTTGTTGCCAGTCTTTGAAAATGCAACTTATTTTAATAAATAAATAAAAAGTGAATACTAAGGGCCCAACCCAGCTCAGCTCAGATATCTGGAGCTAATAACAAGGCTTGTGGTTATTAGTAGTGGGGTTTTGTTAATGTATCCCTTAATGTGTGCGGAATTGTTACTTGTGATTCAATTGCATAAAGAAAAACATTGATAATTTGTCAAATTCATATAATCAAGATCTGTGACAGGATGCTTGATATGGTCCTTGTTTTAAGGTATTATATCTTGAATTGGATACCAGTTTACCAGAGATTTTGAAATAAGGTCTTCTAACTTACACATAGTCAAGGTAAAGAGCTATTAACAAAAATTTGACAATATGAACTTATGAACATTTGGTGATTAGGATCAGTTCTGGAGTTTTCAGCACAGAATCAAATCACTCTATAGACAGACACACAAAAAGTGAGAGCTATAAGACAACTTTGCATATTAAATCTTACATCAACTATGGAAATAGATGCTATATCCAATGCAATTGGGTACAGCAGGGATATACCTACCAGTCCTCCACCAATAATGCCAAGGAGATGAATTCTATAAGGGAAATGTGTTCTTTATTATGTATAAATTAATTGCTTGATTTGTCTTATTTACTTAGTATGCTGGATGACTTTGATGCACAGATCCGACCACATAATGCAATTTAATTATTAATCCTTATACAGAGACAACTTTCTCACTAGCATCAATATTTCAATTAGATGTACTCGGGAATTTTCTCTTCATGTTTCTGACATTCCCTGGTTTTCAAGAAGTGCATTGCTGGAACTGTGGAACACCGTGTCTTCTATTGACTTTCCTAAGACACTTGTTAATAACTTGTTTTTTGATGCAGAATAAAAAATGGCTTCATCTTCTATTGATAATACGAACTTAAGATTGAAGCCAAGGTTTTGTAATTGTGGAAGAATAGCTTCCGTGCGTATTGTACAAACCAATGCGAATGGAAATGAAGGTCGTGTATATTTTGTTTGCCCAAGAAAATATGTAAGTACCTGTTATATAAATGAATCTGTTACTTTTTACAAATTTCATTAGTCCTTTATTGATTAATTGATTCTTATCCATTGTAGACTTCGAACAACCACTGCAATTACTTCAAGTGGTTCACAAATGACGACGACGACGACGACAACGACATTACCTCATCAATCCGTGCCAATGCTGGACCTCGAACAGATTCAAGAACAGAAGAAATGAATGATGTAAGGACAAGGCTTGGAGAGCATGATAGAAGGCTTCAAAGGATTGAGAAGATATTGAAGGCAATGACTTATGTCATTGTATTTTGTGTATTTTTGTACTTTATCAAGTAAATGACTCAGTTCTTAGGTTTTGGAGCATGCTATGAATGTAATCTACTTTTGTACTTGTTTTGTAATTTTTTTTTTGGTGCTTAAAAATCTGAAAGTTTGTAAAAACAAGTGTGCAACAGCTTTGTTTGAGATGAAATGTTGAATGAACAGTTTTTGAAATCTATTGAATTATGTTGGTTGCTTAACAATGTATATTATATGTGATGGTTTGAAAATGTTGAATGTTGTATAACAGGTTTATGAAATGTTGAATAATGTTGAATGTTGAAATGTTGAAATGTTGAAATGTTGAAAATGTTGAAAATGTTGAATGTTGTATAACAGGTTTATGAAATGTTGAATAATGTTAAATGTTGAAATGTCGAAATGTTGAAATGTTGAAAATGTTGAAAATGTTGAATGTTGTATAACAGGTTTATGAAATGTTGAATAATGTTAAATGTTGAAATGTCGAAATGTTGAAATGTTGAAAATGTTGAAAATGTTGAATGTTGTATAACAGGTTTATGAAATGTTGAATAATGTTAAATGTTGAAATGTCGAAATGTTGAAATGTTGAAAATGTTGAAAATGTTGAATGTTGTATAACAGGTTTATGAAATGTTGAATAATGTTAAATGTTGAAATGTCGAAATGTTGAAATGTTGAAAATGTTGAAAATGTTGAATGTTGTATAACAGGTTTATGAAATGTTGAATAATGTTAAATGTTGAAATGTCGAAATGTTGAAATGTTGAAAATGTTGAAAATGTTGAATGTTGTATAACAGGTTTATGAAATGTTGAATAATGTTAAATGTTGAAATGTCGAAATGTTGAAATGTTGAAAATGTTGAAAATGTTGAATGTTGTTACATATCCAACAAAAATTTCACAAAAATTCCCTAAACAAAATAATGCTAAGATGTTGGCGTGTGATCCACATCCCCATGCCCACGGCCATGCCCACGACCACGACCATATAGTACCTACAAAAAAAATAAAATAATATTACATCAAAGGAACCATAAAATAAAATGGAACTTTAAACGAATGGATGACAAAATAAAAGAGGAAAGGTGAAAAAAAAATTACTTCACTACATGCGGGACTATTTGAAGCTTGCGAGTGATAACTACTTGCATTGTTAAGCAATGCTTGATAGGTTCCATGGACGGAATACATCGATGGCATTGAAAAATGCATATTGTGATGAAGAAAACTTGGCTGCAACAATAACAAACACATATCAATCTAAAATGATAATAGGCAGCTACAAATCCGTACTAAAACAAGTTATTAAACTAACTTACAGGGATACATAAATTGAGACGAAGAAGCTCTAACTTGAGGAACACTCGGCGAGAATGGAGGAAGTTGAGGAACACTTGAAAATAAAGGAGCCGACTGACGAATTAAGGGAGGTGCTTCAGGAGCACTTGTCGAAAATAAGGGAGGAGTTTGAGGAGTAACAGACATAGAAGTTTGAGAAGCATTATGTGAACTTGTTTTATTTTTCTTTGCCAAGGCAAGCTCCAAACCACCTTTTGTCCGCCTTTGTCCCTTGCTAGTGCACTCTTTTCTCTTGAGTCCTTTTGCTTGGACTACATTTTTATCCGCTACACCATCCACTCCAAAGCTTTCGGGGCATGCGTTGGGGGGGCTTTCTTGTTGAATAGTATCTGAACAAGGCATATTGAATTTTGCGCTTAACATGGTTTCAATGTCTGCAATTAATTCATCCGCTTTCTCGACCGTCAAATTATATGTTTCGTCACTTTCAGAAGCTCTACACGCTACTGATCTGAATATTGCCATCAATGACCTATAACGTGAAGTTTGATGCAATCTTATATCAACCTGAATATCATGTCCACACCTATCTTTTACATTTTCAGATCTTGCTTTTTTAGTCCATCTCTTTAGAATATACTGTGAAGGAATCTCTTTCAATTTCAGTCTTTCTCTAAGGATCTTCAAACAATGACTACACAAAATGCCCTTTATTTCAAACTTCCTACAATTGCAAGTGACCGAATCATCACACCCCTGCCTCACCTTCCTCACCTTTATACCATCACTATCAAGAACCGTGTAAACGGTACTCTCACCATCATTTTCAATTTCTTCAATGTTGACTTCAAGGTTCTTGACATACTCATCCTGAAATTCTTCAAAAATTTTATTTGTGTAAACATCTGCAGCTTGCTCCATAATCTTCACTTTAATATTCACCCTGGCCAACTTTTGGCATAGAGCATATTCAGCTTGTAACTCCTTGTACCTTTTTTCAGACAGAACTCGATCAAAATGCATGAAAAATTGCATTAAGTTATGATCAGACTGAATGAAATCCTTCAAGAAAGCATTAAAGGATTCACTAAGTTGGGTGCTACTCATGCCCGCACCCCATGCATTTCTAACATATGGCCAACCCCATTTTTCCTTCACCCCAAATGTTAACTTCAACCAATGATTATCTCTTACTTCATACTTGTCAAGCATTTTCTCCAATTTTAACATAAACTCTTCCTCATCCTTAATGTCGTACATAAACGTGTATAAAACACTCTTCATCCCCTTATCCTTCATCGCCTTATCCTTGAAGATAGAATTTGCATGCCTTAATGCATTTTGCATCAAATGCCAAGTGCAAAGGCGGTGGGTTGTGTTAGGCATGACAATAGGTATGGCCTTAGCCATTGCAGCATCCTGATCCGTAAAAATTATTTTTGGAGCCTTACTTGACATTGCCTCCAAGAATCTTCTAAAAAGCCATACGAAAGAATCGACGGTCTCATCATACATCAAAGCTGCACCGAATACCACAGTTTCCCTGTGATGGTTCAATCCAACAAAAGACGCAAATGGTCTATGTGCACTATTTAACTTGTAAGTAGTGTCGAAAGTGACAACATCACCAAATTGCCCATAATCCATGATCATCTGAGCATCGGCCCAAAATATGTTCGTAATCTGCTCCTCGTTATCTAATTGGACCGAGTAAAAAAAAGATGGATTCTCCAATGATTTGTCACAAAAATATTGCAAAATGCTACCTGCCTCCCTATATGCTAAACTGTTTTGCCTCTTCGTTCTCAAATAATTTTTTTGGTCAAGTTTTGTAAACCCAAGTGACTCCCTTCCACCAACTTCATTACCCATGAGCTCAAATGCAGCATTAAGACGGATTCCAGATTTTTCGGCTAAATCTATTTCGGTTGCTTGTGGTGTAGATATCTTCCTTTGGGATGGTAACATATGCGTACATTCTATTGGTACAAAGATATGATTATGTTGTTCAACAAAATCACTAACAAAAAATTTCTGAATATTCCTATCCCACTTAATGACAACTCGGGCTTGACAACCAGTCCTCACTTCCTGCCTAGGATTTTTTGTTAATGAATCTCGCTTGTCGACAACCCGAAATCCTTCCTTATTACAAACAAATTGCCTTGAAGTGATTTGCCCGTCTTTGCTCTTGTTTACATAACCCCTTCTAATACTAAAACCCAACCTTCCTCCATAACTATTATAGAAATCATAAGCTTCTTGTTCTGTATCAAACGTCATGCGAACTCTAGGCTTCCAATAACACTCACCCCCGTCATTCTCATGATTGTTAGGTTCCATCTGAATGTGCCAAGTCACTTAAAAAATTAAGAAGTGCTCAATATTAGCATAAAAACTGTATACAAACTGAATAAGATAATCAACGAATAACAAATGTACCACCTGAATATATATAAAGAAACAAGGAACATTATAGATCAAGAAATGGTTTAGAAAATGCAATTAACAGTGCATGGAAAAAAAATGAGAGAGGACATGTCTCATGTTATTCATTTTTATTGTTGATTGGATTACAAAGTTCAAAGAGAACAGTCTCTGCAACATACTGAACACACTGAAAGAGAATCGAATTCAAATCTATATAGATATATATCTAAACTATTGTTCCAAATATATAATTAAAAATATGTTACCTAAACTATTTATGTTGCTTTAGTCAATAAACAGTGCTGCATACTCCTAGTGGATTCAATTTTGACTTAAAGTTTAAATTCTACTAGTACATAAGCCACTGCAAACTGTTTGGCCATGCCTCCTTTAAGGATCAATGTATTTCTTTTGTAGTTTTGTTCCTTTTTTTTTTTTTTTATAACTACTTCACTAATACTTTCAATAAAATTCTGAGTGTGCCTCTTATTAAAATAAGTTTGAGAGTTCAATTGTGTTTGTTTTGGGCTTCAAAGTTTAAGTTCCATATACTAATGATTCTTTCAGGGTTTAATTATCAAACATGGAATTGATTGTTAAATTTACAGACATGAATTCTACCCTAAGAGAAACTTCGATTCAGACAATCCCTTCTAAAAAAACAATCCTTGTTCAGATACTAAAATTGATGTCTGAATCTGTAAAGAGCATCAATTTGTTCGTGTACAGCTTCATACATGAATCTGTGGGTTTATTCAGACAATCCCTTCTAAAAAAACAATCCTTGTTCAGATACTAAAATTGATGTCTGACATGAATCTGTGGGTTTGGTCTCTTTTAAAACATGAATCTGTAAATTTAAAAACAATCCTTGTTCATATATGTATAAGAGAAACTTCGATTCAGACACAAACCCACAGATTCAGAAACTTCGATTTAGAAGAGAAAAAAAAAAAACAAAATCGAACTATACCTATATACGTTTCAATCGGTTGGAGCAGAGCAGGGGCGACGGCACGACGGCGGGGCAATGGGGATGCAGGTATCGGCCTCAAACAAACTCTTCTTCGCTCTCTCGTTTCGCTCGCTTCTTCCCGCCGTCTGTCTGATAGTT